GTGCTAGGACTGTCTTAGGGAAGAAAGCTTTTAGTTGTGCAGCTCCACTAAATTGGAACAGTCTGCAAACATGTTTAAAACTGAGCACTTTGGTTCCCCTGCATCATTTTAAAACTCAGCTGGCTGACATTTTGTTTGATACTCATGGTACCTGTCACTGTAAATAGAGTTTGCAAACTGTACCCTGTACATTATGTTGTATGTCATCCTTATTGTTGTTCTGTTGTTTTTATGTTACATGTGCAGGTCACCCTTGAAAAAGAGATCTTTTGATCTCAAGGGGCTTTCACCTGGTTAAATAAAGGCTACATTGCAGCACTGGCCACTAGCTGACAGTTATTGAGTTTAGAAAGGGGTGAAGAATCCAACGGGATTTACACATCTAGACAGAAACCAAGAGGGAGCCAGAGGTTTTCTCCAAACTCAATAAATCACCTGACTGGGATACCCACAATGTGTGACAGGTGTTTGGGTGGTGTGAGGCAGAGACAAAGAAGTGAGATTCAAACTTGTCTGTGGAACAAACATCCATTTGTTAAAACAAAACAAAATGTTATCTAAAAAGCAGTGAGGTTCAGAGAAAAAGAAGGAAATCAAAAGCTCTGTTCAAAACATCCCTGTGAAAGTCTAGTAAAGGTCTAAGAGGGAAATACAGGAAGAGAGTATGGTAATGTGTTGTACATAACAAAGTTAACATCTAAATCACACAGCACCAAAAGGCTTGCAAATGTCATAATTCTGTGTTTGCCTGTGTGCATCGGTGCCTGTTCTAATCCCTCCAACTCCCACACTGCCAACAGAAGCAGGAAATGCTCATCCACAAGCCTTAATAAAGATCTCGGTATGGATCTTTAAACTGAGCATAAAAACACCACAGAGAGGGAATTCTCTGCCATTATTGCACTTCAGCAAATTGATTTTCACTTTATGAGACCTATACTAGACACAAACCCACATTTTACAAAGCGGTGTCTCAATTTTAGTGCTGGATGGTCACCACTCAGGAATGTGGGTCCATCAGCAAACCAGCAAGATCATTGCTCCCCAAAATGAGACGGAAAGCATTGGTGCATTTGGCCCGTCTTCTGTCTCATAAAAGCAAGTCCAGAGTTGCCCTCAAACTGCAGCCAACAAGGTCAATCTTTGTGATAAGACTAAACTCCTTTCATGATCTCCGAATCGCCAGCAAGAGTTGTAATGTTCAACATCCAGATTACTTAATAAGGTGAAACATTGGAGTCTAGACTAGATCTTGAAGGTTGTTTTCTTTGTACCTGATGATATAGATTGTATTTAAGAGTTATTTAAGGACATTTAGGGGTAAATACCTTTAGGTTTGTGTGTGTAAAGGGCTTATAATTGGCCAAAAAAAGGATGATACTTTTTTAAAGGAATTGGACAGGCTTAGCTGAAATGGTTCTGCCTTGTCTGCCCTCTATAATCTGTTCGGCCTTGAAATGTGACTCGAGAGGATGCTGCTTTGAATTTAAATGCAGCATATATAGATAAGTCAACAGTAGGGTTATTTAAACCCAAGAGGCAGAATTGCGATATATAACAATATTGAGCTCTTCACACTCACATTGAGCCGGACAGACCAATCAGAGAAGTGGGCTAATCTGCTCTGAGATCAGAGTGTGCTGCCTGAACAAACCCAAGGTCGATGGCTTTCCAACGGTCCAGAAACAGTATTGATCCCATATTTAACACAGAGATGTCGTCTTGTCCGGCATCGATCCTCCGGTCTCGCAGGCAGGATATATTACTAAACAACGAGACATACAATTGTGCTCTTCCGCTGTCGCTGGCACATTTATCAAAGTTCACTAGTGCTTGGGGAGGACAGCAATCAAACATAGGTGGTGAGGAGGGGAGGACAACATTAGCATGATGGCATGCTGCCCGGATTCATGCCTCACATCCAAAACAGGGCCTTAACTATTCAAGAATAATTAAGAACAGAGGCCTAAGAACAATGCAGGGGAAGATTGCATATGTTATTGTCCAGACCTACAACCGTGTGTTATAGAAGAAGGTGAATTGTAAGGTTCAAAGATTGCAAACTTTCCAAGAAACTGCAAACTCACTCTGAGTAATGTAAGACCACTGGACTGTAATTAAATGGGCATGAACATGCTTTTAAAATAATGATTATGACTTCTCTGTAGGGCTGCTCGATTATGGCAAAAATCATAATCACGATTATTTTGGTCAATAATTGATATCACGATTATTAAAATACGATTATTCATTGACTTTGAAAACATCCATTTATTAAACTTTAAAACAAATAATAATTTGAACAGTATCTTTTTAACTGTTGATTACCCTGAACGTATAATTCAACTGAAAAACCAATACAAAAATGTATTAAATAAATAATACATTTAAATAAATAATATCAAAATAATAAATACCAATAAACAAGATCAACAAATATTTTGGAGCGCACTTCCACGAGCTACTAAACATATAAATATGATAAATAAAAATAAATTAGACTAAAATAAGTTAGATCAAATATGTTCTAGTACACTGTCACAACCTAGCAAAGCTAAATAATCGTTTTTTCCGATTATGTTGTTTTCGTAATTGTGGCTTGGTGCAATGTGGCACCTGATATATTGGTTACACTATCATTTTGAAAGACCTATTGTACCAAAGAAGAACTTTTCGGAGTTTTGTTTAAGTGAAAATTGGCAGAATTTTTTCGCACCACCACTTTTAGTCATTATTCTCTACATGAATTCTTTATTTTTTTTCTCTAAAATGATCTCCAATTATTTCAACAAGCGTTTCCTCTGCTCTGTCTGCACATTCATATTCAAATTCCACTAGTTCAAATGATGACACATCACTTTGTGTGATGATTAGTTCTCGGAGAAGCTTAGAAAAACAAATATAGGTGAATTTAACGTCATCATAACTTCAGTTAAAAAGGGTCCAATCCCCAGGTCTACAATACCAAACATAGAAGGGATTAATCAAGGAGTGAGTGCGATAAAATGGGCTTTATATTGACAGACTGCTTTCGAGGGAATAGTGATTTTCAGTTATGTCTCTTCTCAAGGCCAAGTTAATGTCAATCGACTAATACAATTTATAGTCTTCTCACTCAAGCTTAAGAGGAAGATGAGTCTAACAGATCAAGTTCAATTAAAACATCATATACAGTTCTCGCTGTCAAAGTACTTGAGATCCTTTAAATGCTTTCTCAGTATCTATATCATAAGAACTTAATCCCTAACGTTTGGAGGGTGTTACGGCTGCTGCCTTCCTGGTTCTCTTAACTGTGTTAATGTGTGTTGCATGTAAATGAGCTGTGTGATTGCCCTGTCGTGATTGGCTGCCATCTCCTGGTCTGCCCCCTGAAGATTGTGATTGGAGCACGCCGGGCCTGACGCACTCCAATCGCAGCGCACAGCCGGCGCACACCTGCTGGAGGCGACTACAAAGCTGGGGACAATCATCACTCTGGAGGCTCTGCTGCGAGTAGGCGCCTCACACATTTTGCTCTTGTGTTGTGGACACTTTGGACTTAAGCTATTAGACTGTTTAACTCGTGTAGTGTGTTTAGTGTGATTATATATGTGCTTAGTGTCGTGTTGAGATATGTGTTTAGAGTAGTGTGTTTAGTTGCCTTATTTAGCTCTGTTTTCTTGCAGCCTCCTTTCGTTACGGCCCGTACACACAGCAGCTTTTGGCGATTTGTCCACCGCTTCCAGCGCGTCTCCGCCCATTGACTTTGAATGGGGATGACGTCACTTTCCCTCGCTTGTCGCCGAACTGCATTGTGGGGGGGCGAGGCGAAGATTTCCAGGATTTCCAGGATGTTCAGGATTCCAAAGTTGAACAATGTTCAACTTTTGAGGCTGAGCTGGAAGCGACAGCCAATCAGATCCGTTTATGCAAATCTGACAGTTCAAGCACTAGCCAATCAAACCGCGTGCAAGCTGGGAGAACCAGACCCGCAGTTCATTCTATATTCCACAAAAGTGGAGGAGAAGTTAGTTATTGCGGTAGCAAATCACCCGGTTCTTTATGACCAGTCCCTATTTACTTACCGGGATACAAACCGGAGGAACCAGGCATGGAGGGAGGTGGCAGAGGCAGTGGGTGAAACTGGTAGGTTTTCGCTTGTTTGGGGATTTTATATCCAGTTTACTTCGTTGCTAGTTTACTTTGTTGCTAGCAAGCATAGACAGTATCATTAGCCAGCATGGAATGTAGCATAAAATAGCACCATAGACATTAATCTCATAAATGTTAAAAATGTTAAAAAAATAAATAGTGGAGAAGAACCGGGGTTTTTTGCTTTGTATGTCGGGGGCGGGAGATTCATGTGGTTGGTTGTTGGTCGCGAAATCCCCAAGCTTTCAGACACGCCCAGCTCCAAGATTTTCAAGATTTTTGAAAAGCTGCTGTGTGGACCTACCGTTAGTGTTGATTAGTGATTTCAGGTGTGTAAATAGGCTCCTTTTGTTAGAGTCCTCCCTTTGTTTGGTTATTTGTCAACCTGTGCCCTTTTGGCCTTTTTTGTTGTTCCAGGCTGCATGCCTGTCATTTTGTTTACCGCTGCTATTTATAATAAAACCACTTATAATTATTACCAATTCCACTCTGGTTGTGTTGCTTCCCTTTGGTTCCCCTAGCCCAGTAAGGAACGTAACAGAGGGTAAAGTGCTTCTCAATGTACTACACTCACTAAATTAATTGCACAAGGCAGCTTTATACATAGCATATGGTGAAGGATACATGCTTGAACAAATGTAACCTTTACCTCCAGAAATCCTTTGACATTAAATCTATAAAGCGCAGTCTCTATACTTTGCAGGCATGTACTTCCTATTTAACGGGAAGGAGCGATTATTGAATAAAGTAAGACAGGTGCGCTTTATATATCCAAATCTTTCATAGTGCAGCTCTGAACACATGACATCAACAAGGTCACATGTGGTCCGTCACTCTGATTGTCTAAAGTATGAAAGAAACCTTCCTACCAGTCTGCCACCAGTGATCCAGGACAGGAACCCCAAAGCTCCTCTTTGCCCATTCCAGCGTCTCCACATCACAACGCTCTCCAGCCAGAAATAACGACCGCAGCCTGCAAGGACACAGAGTACATCTGTCAATCACCTTGAGGGGACATGACATATTTCTCTGAGGAAATGGTAAGAAAAATATATATTTGCAGTTGCAGGCTAGTTTTTGGCGTTTTAGACCAAGTGTCATTATCCAGAAAACTTTAGAGTAAAAAAGTTCAACAGACAAAAATGGGATGCATAAACTTTTTGGGAAATAATTTTTTTTGACTGAAAATCGGAATTTGTGTTAAAAGGGCAGACAACAAATCCTGGCCATTATCATACGATAAGATCTGTTTCGTAACCTAAAATTGACATCTTCACTTGATTCTCTTGAATGCAACTTGGAGATCGTGCAATATCTATTAATGTAAATGTAGTTTGCCTTTAAAGCAGCAACCACCACTTCCTTTTTCCTATAATTCTCACCACCTTTCATGACTAAAAGATGTTTGCGTTCTGCCTGTGAGGGCTGGCCTCCTCACAGTTACACTAACATTAGAGGTGAGCATCATTAACACCGGATCCTCCATAAGCTCGGCCATTCCACTTTTGCTTTGAATGTCAGAAAACACAACATTGACATTTTTTTTTACCTATGAAACATTCCTGCATTTCAACGTATTTAAAGTGGGATGTTCATCTCAGAGGAAACAATCTTGTTGGGAATAAGCTGCCCTTTCTCCCTACAAAGATGTTGCCCTCTGTGTGACCCTGAATCATGGAGTAGCAGGAATCCACAAGTTCTTGCAATGACATCTAAATCTATCCCAATTAACTGCTCCCTCCTAGTTCAAGCTTAACTTTCCTCCTAGTTTGGATTTTTACTTTTCCCTGGCTTCATGAAACATTCTCCCTATCCTTCAAGTGAACCAACACACTGCAGTTTCTACCTTAACCCTCCACTGAATTCCATATAATTCTTCTCTGCTAAACCTCCTCCTACGGCTCATATCTTATTCCCAACACCGCTCGTTGCTCCCTACAAAGCTCTGAAGAGATCTGTAACCTGGTACCTTGCCAGTACCGACGCTTCATTTTCACACAAATGACTGCTGGTCATTGTTCTCAACTCTACGCAGGGCCGAAATGGCTTTCCAACTCCAATCAAAATTGAAGTCGCATTCTATCTTCTAGAACAGGAAAAAAAAAAATGTCATCATGTCACTCTCTCCCAGCTGAATCATACATGTTCTCCTCCTACTGGCTCTGTGCATTATATTCTTTAAAGTTGGTCTCAGGAATATTATGAAGACTGTTTTCTCTGTCATTGCAGAACAATCAGAGAAATGTCGTTAGTAAGCTAATTAAATCATATGAATTCCGCCTACCATCCAGATGTTGAAAGATGCCTGGGGGCCTTCTATCAGTTTTATTGCAAATAACACTGTTCCCATGATTAATGGGGGAATTTTCTCCACTTTGTTTGATAAATTCTAAAGGGTTCTGCATGTTAAAACATATTGTCATTTCATAAAGATAAAAGAGGACAAAGCAAGTAACTATGGGCTTTAAATGTACGTTTTTGTCTTACAATATGCCAATTTAGAAACAGTAGAAACCCATATTTGAGCTTATTGAAGGTATCATGATGTATCAGACATTTTAATTGTATAGTCATTTAATTTAAGATTTTAAAGAAGAGATAACTGACACCCAAACTCATCACATTATCTGAATGAATAGCTATGGCTGTTTTTATTCGATGAATTATGTTAGCTTGTATTTCTTTCATAGGGGTTTTATATGACCCTGTGCAGTGGAAACACAGGGGCTTTGACCTTGTATTTGTGTTGATTACCAACTTTAATGTTGAGAGGTTCATAAAAACAGCTTAAAGGATAGAGATTTAGGTTTATGCCTAGACTGTATCTATTATGAAAGAATTCCATTACAGACCATAATGAGCTGTCAGACAGATAATGCCCTGCAGGAACTGAGCTACAGAACATGGGAAAGATGATTGATTGATTGATTGATTGATTGATGCACTGCCCTGGCAGCGACCCTATGTTCCAGCTGAGCCCACTGCCATGCTTTAGTTATCCAAGCACAATTCAGATTCTGTATGTTTTCAATGTTTTCTAAAGAGTTCAATGGAAGTACAAGTTTGAAAGATTCACAGAGACTCGGGCCGTTTCTCAATGTCGAGTAAAGCTGCTGCAGAACCACTATTTCAAGTATACTGCGTCATCGAGTGGCACCGAATGCTGGGCATTTAACATGCATTTAAACAGTCCTTCGGCGCCACTCGATGACGTAGTATACTTGAAATAGTGGCTCTGCAGCAGCTTTACTTGACATTGAGAAACAGCCACTGTGACCTCAGAGATGGTGTTGGGAGGGCGATCGTTTGGCTGCTGACCAAGTTCATGGAGTGTGAGTCAGTAATAGCCAGTGTAAACATCAGTGTTTACAAAGATCCCTTTCAGTTCCCTTTCTCAAGTCTTTCTTTAAAAGAAAAAAAAAAAGAGGGTTAATACGCAAATCATTAATGTTGTTGATGTTTCATCGCATAAAGCTACAAACATATTTTTGTTGTGCCTCAACAGCTTGTTAATTGTTTGCAATTTTGTTGAAAAAAGACCTTCCCCCATCTTAGATATGGATTTCACTGCCTAACATACTGTGTCCACTGATTAAATGTAGGAACATAATTACCTACAATTTAAGCACCATCTGTTTCAAAATAAACTTCCTCACATGCATACAGTTTGAGGGTGAATACACACTTCATTTGTCCACATTTAAACCAAGAAATACACCACCTGTTACTAAAAATGTATTGATGCAGTGCTGTAAAAAGAATAGATGCTAAAAGCAAATATTATTTTTCTTTCATGATAACAGAGGCTACAACATGTACCATTATGTAACTATTCTATGATCGTTTGTAAAGATAAGACCACCACAATCCCTACAATATAACCTTGGAGTAGGCCAATAAAGAAGTACAACAAATATTCTTAGTGGCAAAGGTTATCCACGTGATAACCTTTTGTCACATGTTGGAGGTCTACAAATTGCTAATATGCTTGAAGCTGATTATGTGAGCTTAGTGTGGCAAAGGTGAAGTTGGAATAAAGGAGAGATGTTCATTTAGGGAAGGAGTATATAGAGTTTATTCTAGTGTCAGTGGCTTAAAAAGAATGCAGGTATAGTTTCCCTTCAAATGTAATTTATATTTCTCTAAAGTAAGAGTTAGTTTGTCTGTTCCACCGTACGCCATTCATGCTATATGGGGAAAGCTACTTTAAGCTTTATTATTGAGCTGTAAGTTATGTTTTTGAGGCTGTTTTTTTTAATGGACTCTTAGCTAAATGAAATAAAACATCTTGTACATTGCCACTTTAAAAGAAAATCAAGTTGCAGACATCACCATCTTTAACAGCACCAGCTTTTAGTAGGCACCAAAAAGCATTTGAGTGGAGTCGTGCCATTTGTCCCTTGTTTATGACTAAGGCTCTCAGCATTTGTTCGACTTAAAAGCGCTACTGAGTGTTTCCCTCTTTTGTCATGCTACATTTATGCAGAGAGCTGCTGCCTTCACAACTTTACACAGCCTTGAAGCCAGACTCTCATTGAAGTTTTCACATCGAGGGTGACGATTAATACAGAATATTGATAAGAGTCCAGTGCCATTACAGTGGAGCGGGTCCGGAGGGAGGGGATATCTTAAATTGTCAATAAACCGCAGACAGTGTATTTGATCTGTAGTCAATTATTGTTTGTCCTCTCTAGCATGAAATGATGTGTTTGATGATAACGTTTTCTGAAAGGTTTTACTACTTCCATCAGCACACTTTTAATTAAAAGAACCATTATTGGTATTGACATATCTTTCCATGTGTTATAGGAAGTGGCAAAATGCACCGACTAGAAGTGGATTCATTTGGTAATATTGCAAAAACACTAGCAAATTAAACTTTCATTACATTTTCATGAACTCCTACACAACACAAACCCTTTAAATACCATGATATTAAAAGGCTGACATTCAGAGATTCAAAATGTTGCATCTTTGCAGCAGAGAAATATTTTTGGAGCTTTGAAATTGAAAGAACATTTAATGTGTCTCAAAACATAGCTGTCCTGCCATGAAATGAAATCATGTTTCATTGCTTCCTTTGTGTTGCTGCCTCTGTGTCATAGTGACATGTTTTGTTCAGCGCCGAAGGGAAATACATTATCTTGCACCAACCTGCCTCCTCCAAGGGGAAAAGACACATTAGGATTAAGAAAGAGTACACAGAGACAGCATAGGACTGATTGTTGTAGGGTCAGAACAATATTCTCTACAAATATTGCAGAAAATAATCTGTCTGCAAATACCGCCTTTTAGAAGGTGCTATGTATTCAGGACAGCAGAACATTTATATATCGTCAAATTCAGCACACAATGCCAGAGTTACTGAATGATTCACCGGGGCCAGAGGTCAACTGCACTCAGCATTGCTTTATGATTGTGTGCTTAAAGGTATTTTCAGACTGCAGAGCAGAATGAACGTGGTGAGTTGACACCACAACCCCTTAGGTCCAAGTCTTGAATTAACAATACTGATCATTTGGACATGTATTTCACTCTCTAGGCCAAACCAATACCATGAGAACCTGTTGTTTTTAACTATAAGCTACAGAAGACCTTTACATTAAGACAGCAGCCAGGGAAACAAGTTCTCACAGTATGATTTAATACAGGTGAGCAGCAGTGACCTGCCATTGTTTGCTATCCATCCTAATTAACACCCAAGTGAGTTGAACTGAAGGTACAGACGGTGAGCAATGGCGGTGCATCAACAGATGGCCGGAGACTAACGACAGGCTGGACAGAAGGTGCACAACACCCTCAGCCAGGAGATATCACACGTTTCTAGCTCAGCACACAATCTGCAGTTGAAGGTTAGGGCCAATACCCACTGACTTTATTAGAGCAACTAATAGCGACTTAGTTTTGTATTTCAGTCTATGAATCAGTCAAATGTCGTGATAGAAGCATGGATCACAGTGTAAAAGGCTAAAAATACTAGAAATGTTTACTCTATGCGTCACCCCAAGCCAAATTGAAAGAAAAGTATCTGCAAAGTTTAGCAAAAAAAACAGATGCAAAGTATATTTTAAGAGATTTTCAAATGAAGACCTTTCAAAAAACGACATTTGACTTGTTACCTGAATTTGTTTTTGATGGTCTGTAAGACTTGTATGTGGGCTTCTTTGACATTGGATTGTTCAATTGCTGGGGTTTTTATTACTGTAAGATTAATGTATCATTTAGTCAACACAATGTTGAAAAATAGCCATTAATAGCCATCAAAAATGTCCAAAGCCCACTGCAGCATTTCCCAAGTTGCTTTGCTTGATTTAGCAAATTACAATCACAAAATGTTTTCACCTTTAAGATACTGCAACCAATATTGCTTTTAAAGATTGATTCATTATTATCAATCATCAGAATAGATTATAATATTCATGAATCAACCTTTTATTGTAGCTCAATGTAAAATGTACTTATTCCCGGAGAAAATCATTTATTAGATTAAGTGCACATTTAATAGCTGATTTTGATAAGTTCTGTTGAGTAAAGTGTTGCTGTGTACCTAGATAGGGGGTATTTCTTCCCAATTGCAGCATCAGGGTCCTGCTGGCGGATGGCTCGGATGGCAGTGGGGGCTGTGAACATGGACGAGGCTCCGTGTTCAGATACAACCCGGAAGAAGGCCCCAGGGTCTGGAGTCCCCACAGGCTTACCCTGTGAAACACAGTGTGTCAGACAACAGATGCTTAGTACACACACAGTAACAAGGATGCAGGTAAACAAATCTCATCAATACACAATCCAATTCACAAAGAGTGGTAAGGTAAATGTGAAATACAAATACAATACAGTAAAATAAAATAAAATATAGGTCCGAGGAGGAAGAAAGGTTGATATGGAGGTTTACAATTCACTTCAACTGTGAACTACAAACCATGAGTTGTCATAGAGCAGCTGTTTAAGTTGAAGAGGCTTATTGGAAGGCTGCCATCCAGACAAATGGGCCCAGAAATCCATGGATTAGAAAACAGAGTTGCACTATGGGAGAATTGTTTGTCAAGAAGGAAAAGACAAAAGACGCCTCCTGGCAAAAGCCTCCTGGCAAAAGCCTCCACCAGCCATTTCCACTGCGTCTCTTGTATTCAACTAGTCTGTCCCTACAGTGAGAAGACTACTGCAGATTAATCAGGGTGGTAACCAGCAGCATCGAGTTCTGGGTGTCATTTCTGCTGTGAATACATATTTGTGCATGTGTATTGATTTGAGGAAGACAAAAGGTTGGCAGCATCACGCCTGAAGAGACGGGCTGTTAGCACACACGCCACACAAGACTAACACCGAGGCTGGAGTCAAACATTTATTTCAGGAAGGCTGAGTAATTAGTGGCACAGCAGTTCTGCTTCGTGCATGTGAGGGAAAGTCGCAGTGATAATGTAATGAATGTCCCATAAGAAACAAAGACTGGGAGACTCACACGGTAAGAGACAGACACACATCCCTCTTAGCACTGGTCTACAGATTGTGATGCTAATAACCCTCTATATAATAAGGAGCCTGCAGAGAATATACTCCACTAGCCAGGGGTTATGGGACTCACAAAGAAAAGCCAAATAAGCTTTCAAAATTAGATGCATCCGTATCAAATGGCTCTTCAAAAGACAGTCATGCAGAAAATATTTCATGAGGAGCTTGTTTATTTATTTACTATTTATATTTTGGAAGGTCTGCTGCATGTCAATGTTGTGCTCAGTGGAGAGGCTGTTTCCTCCAGGTTTCAACCACTATGTTGAATGCCCATTTGGCTGAAATATACTATACTATATACAGCATATCCTCCAACATTATTTGTTCTTATAAAATAGAAAAACGTTACAAGTTAAAAGGGAATTGAAGGTTGAATTTGTTGTATTTGCCGTATGATGGAGGTTGTTTGCAGGTTCCTTAGTATGGGTACTATTGTGCCGTACAATTGAGATATGTTATGAAACTCATTAAGCTAAACAACAGATTGCTGCAGGAATGAGTCCTAAAACTTTAGGACTAGGAAATGACTTATTGCACTTTTTTTCCCATATCTTGAAGTCAATCGATGTATTAATAAGTATCTTAAACTTCTGCTTGGCACAGAGCTTATTTTCCTCAAAAGTCCAATAGTAACAATTCTGTAGGCTTTTTATTGAGGGAACCAGGGCAATATCCGTATTGACATAAAAACTAGGGCCGGGACTCGATTAAAAAAATTAATCTAATTAATTAGAGGCTTTGTAATTAATTAATCGAAATTAATCGCATTTTTAATCACATATAAATATTTGACCTGAGAACAGTGAGAAGCAATTTTTTTCACATGGATTTTAGTATACCATTAGGCGCATTCACACCGCAGTACTTTTCCCACAAAGGTTCATGAGAATTTAGTTCATGAGAACTCTTTGAACCTGGGGGAGGATTAGGCAAATGAAGCCGCTGACGTCACTTCTTCTTCTTCTTCTGCTTTGGGTTTACTGGCAGGCCGCAAACCACTTCACGGCGTATACTGCCGCCCAAAGTCCCCGGCCGGAAGTCCCTGGAGTTGGGGACTGGCTTCAGTAGAAGCTGCTGGGACTCCCAGCAACTTCTACTGAAGCCTTCCGAGTAAATCGCCAGAACGCCGACACCTCCTCATCTCCACCGCTCCCATGTTTTATTTTGTGTTGCCATAAGTTAGTCTCTCTGCGTTTCTGCGCTGGGCTAATGCTAATAATGCTAATGCGAGGATAATAAAATGGCGGCTTCACAAAACTTTTTGGGAGTTTTACGGGGCGTGGTCTGCAATCCGCCCAGCCAATCAGAAATATAGCTCTTTTCTCACAAGAGAGCCGTACGAAAGTCCCTGCTCTCTAGCAGCTCTCTGCTCTCTAGCAGGGACTTTCGTGGGGGTAAAAAGGTTCTCATGAACTAATTTTAGTACCGGCTCTTTTTGGTGTGAACGCGATAAAAGAGGCTAACGTCCACGCTAGCTTCCACGCTAGCTGCTATATGTTTTGCATTGAGGTGATACTTGAGGCTTGATGTGCTGCGGTGATATGCGAATTCCTTTTTGCATAATTTGCACACAACCGTGCTCTTATCGACGCTTCCATCCGTCCGTTTTTTAAAACAACATTTCCCACTGTTGTTCACTATGGTTTGTTGTTGTCTGAAGTCATGAACGTTAGTTGGTGCTCCAGTATAATCGGTACGCCTGAAACTCATCCAGTGAGAAACGTTCCGCGGTGCAAAAATAAGTGCGATTAAAATGCGTTAATTTTTTTAACGCGTTAATTTTTGTGTAATTAATTAATCTTAATTAACGCGTTAAAGTCCCGGCTCTAATAAAAACATTTGTCATCCCTGCAGCACAAATACTGCTTCTACACTACCACAACATAATTAATTCAATACAGATGCTTTAAACATAGTGTTATTCCAACAGATGTATTCTGCAAGCTTAAATGTCTTTTAACACATGTGTGGGAGTGCATCAACTGCAGAGGCTGGTGACACTTGAAACATTGACTGGTGAGGAAAAAAAGGAAAGTAGAAAAAGGAGTGAAGCTGCAGTCTGTCTCTTGGCAGTAGACTGTAGCAGCCAGAGTCAAACATGGCAACAGGGTAACACAGAGTCCCAGTCCACTTAAACTTGAGTTGTTGACCAAATATGGACGTATTCAGCTTGTAGAGTCCACAAACGCAGATACCAAGCAGACATTCAAATCTGACAGCTTTTTAAGTTGTACAACTCAGGGTTTTATTGTACTTTCTCTAGGTCTAAATGTTTGCAATACTGCTGTTGTGAGTAGATATTAAAACATGTCTACAGGGACATACCTCATAGAGAATTGTGCTGTTACCATGGAGCAGAGGGCCATAGCAGATGTAGGAATGTCCGACCACCCAGCCCAGGTCTGACGCTGCCCACCAAACCTGCAACAGGTACAAAAAAAAGATGAAAAATGTATAGAGACTCAGAGTATCAGTTTGTCAAACACCAGAATTGAGTATTGTCCGAAAGATTATTTTAACTCTTTCAATTCCCTTTCTGCCAACAATGATAACACTAGCAGTACTCAAAGACACTACAGTATACATGTAAATCAAACTACCTCCAATACTGAAGACTGTTCAGCTACCATACATTTAACCTGATCTTCTCTCTAAAAAATAACAATATATCTGTTAACTGACTGCATGCTTTGTGCTTAAACATGGCTCTAACTCAGAAGAGGATGCTATGCTATTGCCTTACGTCTCCAGAACTGAGTCCATAAATATTTGACATGGTCCATTTCAGCATCACAGCATAGCCTGCAGTGTCTCGCACAACACCCTGGGGGACAAGATAAGAAAAAACATCAGACTAGTGACAGGTATTGCATTTGGCTGACTCAAATGTCTGTCTTTTATTAATAAATGGTTATGTGAAATGTTTTGAGCATAACAGTCTGTCCTGAAATCCTCATGTCTCCAATTATAGAGAATTGCTCAAAGTTATGGCCGCCCTACAGCAATAACTGAGAAATTCACAGTAGCTCACAGAGAAAATGCTGGCAATAATAACACTATTAAGCGCAGGAACTAGCCAGCAGGTAGATATTTGATATCATCAGTTGGTCAAACACAAAATGATGTTTTCTGAAAAGAGCTGCATTTTCCATTTCCAACTGCCTTCAGGCATCTCTTCCTGCAAGAGCTCCAGCTCCTGCTGTGGAAATGCTCTGTCTTATGTATCTACAAATCTATTTCACGGAGATGGTGTTTGGATTGGCTATGGATTGTTTTGAAGAGTCAAAGAGTCACACAGAAGCTCAGAAGCGACATTTAGACGAATCCTAAAACTCATCTATGAGAATGTATGTTTGCATGATGTCTATAACTGTGCATCAGGTATATTTCCCCCTGCTGCTGATCACATCTCTGTGAGTCAGTACCTTTGGCGTTCCAGTGGTCCCGGATGTATAGAGGACATAGAGAGGGTGGTTTGAGGGAACAGGAACACAGTCATGAGGTCGAGCTGTAGCCATCTCCTCCTCCCAGTCCAGACTCAACTCCGGACTCATTGACACTTTTTCCTAAAAACAAAGAAGAAAGGAGGGACGTAAACTAATTGTCCTTACAGTAAATGTTGTAATTAACTAGAAAAGTGTTGTCATATTGCCATTACAATGTGTAAATCTTTACTTTTTATGTAAATCTAAATAATTGTATTATATCTTATCTTCCTATTGAACATTTTTACTTAAACTTCTTGTTTTTATATACATTTTATTAAAAAAAAAAATTGTATTTTATCTTTTATTTTATTATTTTCTTCTAAAAAGGAGCAATGGCCATAATGTAAAGTATCAGTGGGTGGTCATACAGCGTGAGATATTCATCAGTGTCAGCTGGCTGCATTTATGTTTTCAATATTTATTTGTCATTAGTTTGAGAAACAAAAACACAACCTTACCTTCCCACTTCAAGTCAAATAGAAATGTATTTAAAATGATAGTTTATGTTAATTTTGTTCCAACCAACGTCAGTACTTTGTAATCTCTTATATTCATCAACAAAGGTAATGTCAGGTCATAGAATAATGCTCCTTTCATCTCCAGTGGCTGACATATTTCTCTTTCATACTTCTTTTTATCATTCAAATCATCCTAAGAGGCTATAGAAGAGTCTGGGTCACTTCTTTCTTTGATTCTCAGAGAATGAGCACGATTCACACCATTCAATATTTCACATGGACTCCTGAGGCAGAGGACAGACAGCCCATATAACCTCCAGCAGGCTGAAACGCACCCTTTTTATTCTCTTTAGTCAAAGCCAAGCCATAGTCAAATGTGGCTGATTCAACTACACGTTCATGTTGGAAGCTGCGTTCACAAAAACCACAACCTCTCGCTCACTGCATGCAGTAACTGATAAAGCAGCCGCAAACACCTTCAAAGTGGAGCTTCACACGATTTTAAGGGGATTATTTTCCTTTGAAAACCATTTTTCCTGAATTCAGTGCTAATCGACCCATATCCACCATGTATACATGTATATGGCAAGAAAGATGCACCAGCGATCTCTTATTGCACAAGACTTTTCACTGATAGATATCAGTGCTGTACACTAATCAGATCAAATACAATACAGCATGTACTGTTGTTTCATTTGAAAAGAAAGAGTTAGACAGAAGTACTTTGCGTAACCGATGACATCTATAAATTGAGACAGAAAAACCGTTTGAGAGGAATGAGTGCAACTCTGTGCACTTTTTAAGAATCATTTATTTTCCTAGGCGTAATATTGAGTGTCTTTTTAATGCTTGTGTTTATGTGAAGCAAATGTCAGCTTTCTGTCACCATTTCCATGCATAATTGTGTGCTGTATAGTCATTATGTGCAGCTCAGCCTGCTTCCAAACTGGATCTTTGCCAGGCTGTTTATGTCAGGTGGAAACCTCTATCGCAATTACACTATACATTTTCTAACATCTACTTGTACAAGCTATACATTGTTTCTTCCTTTTATACAGTGGCAGGATTCCAAAGTCTTACTACCATAGCATTGAATATAACGCTTCACATGATAAAGTCTGTTTCAAATGTTAAAAAAATGGCAACCCCTTGCCTTAGAAAAAACCCATCGCCCAACAGTACTCATCAGGTTTCCATATCTTATATCCTGTCACAAAAAACGACCCTATATTGACAATGAAGATTTGTGTTGCTTAGTGCTTCTTACCATGTTCGGCCTGTTGTAGATGAGGACTTTAGAGGGTTTGTGAGAGCTAAGCTCCAGGGCCTTCTCCACCAGAGGGATGTACTCTACTCTTCTGCCTGGCTCAATGCCAAATGAGGCTGTGACCATCATCTTGGGCTGAGAAAAAGAGATTAAGGGTTAGTTCAATAGTGTTGAAATGTCACAAACTAACAGCATGTTTATATAAAGCTATACTACAAGCAGGGCCTAGGGCTTTTCATCATATCTACCTTGAATAATGGTGTTGTTGCATTTCTATAAGGGTATTAGTGGAATTAATGTATTGCCATGCATACTGTAAGTGGACAGACCAGTCAAATAAACAAAACACAGAGCAGCTTTCATAACATAGCACACAGAGTGACTTCAGTCTCTGCTCAGGTAGACATTACTGCACTCAAATTTCACATAGCAATATTTGTTTGATTGTATGTTAATGCTTTAAATATACATTTGAAACCTTTTCATAATAATGTATTCCTTCAAAAGTATATTTGAATAAACATATCACATAACAAAGATCATCCTTTTCAGAAAGAGTCTTTTTCAAAATGTCAGATTTGTTCACTAATTATATTGTTAAAAAATCTTATTGCAGACTGAATGCAGACTGTTCTTCATTGTTGGATTGAGAAAAGGAAAGGCAAAGCCAAGTGCTTTCCACTGTGAATGATTTATTTTGAGCTCACTAAAACAAAGAAGCCTCAGGCACCAACGGCTTTCAGTGTTTCAGGTATTTTGCAGGGTGAATGGTGAGCATTTTTAAAAGCAAATAAAAAATGGGAATTGAAAACTATGACTTGCAGCCATGTAACTGTCCCGCTTCACATCAGCCTGTCCTCAGTTTTACTGAGAGGTCAAGGTACTAAAGAGTGACATTAAATTAATAAAAACCATGTAGTCTTTTTGCCATGGCTCATGAAAGGATACATTTTATGTGCAAGGTCAATATCAACGTTTTCTAACCTTGGCATGATCGATGCGGACAGAAAGCTCTTTGGAAGCAAAGCCGCCAAAGATAAGGCTGTGTGGCGCGCCGATCCGGGCACAGGCCAACATGGTAAACATGGCCTCCGGCACCATGGGCATGTAGATGACCACCAGATCTCCTTTCCGTACACCATTCTTCACCAGGACTCCTGCTAACCTGGACACCTGGGTCCAGACACAGCACACAATGCAGAGAAATGAATATCAACATGTCATTTGGCTGTTAGCACTTCACTGTTTAAATATCTTATATTATCTCCATTCATATAATTGTTCAGGACTACTTTAACCAACATAAACGATTAATGGTTAAACAAATATTGCTTATCTGGAATTCTTCCAAGAGTTTCGTGCATGATTTTTTAGGTTACAGTGGTACAAAAATGCATTTAAGTGCATAATCGATTGCCTCCGGTTTCAATTGTTTCTCCAAAGTGTATTTTTGCCTGTGAAAAGCACATTTAAGTTCTATAATTGAGTTTTCATGGAACTGAAGCATCTCCCAAATGTCAATCAAGTTAGTTAGTTAGTTAGTTAGGTCACTTTCTTCTCTTTTTGCAACATTTTATTTTGCCCTCCTTGTGCTAATGCTGGCACACAGCAGAAAGGCCTGACAAACTGTCTCAGTTAAAGGATTCAAAATGTATTTATGTCATTGTAACCCTGACAAGATCTAATTTCAGTGCTCACAATCCAACTAAGCTTATCTTTATATCTCACAATCTATTTTTACTACACATCCTGGCATTTTAAATCAGGCTTTAACCGTTTAAGTATTTGTATTTCCCTTTTACAAGTACTAAAAAGGTCAGCGTGATACATCTATTTAGGAGGCCATGATGATAACAGGATAGGAGGTCATGACATCCAAGCTTGAAATGTTATTTTGAATGTTCATTTTGAGGTGGTATAAAAAGGTTTGGCATCTTATGTAACTAATAATACTAAATTACGTATGCCAGGTTGGTAGGGAAAAGCAGAATATATCAGTGAGATATTTGTATAATGGAAAGGCTCTTGGTGTTGTTCTCCGTTTGACACAGTAATACAACTCAACATAGCAAAGTGACTACTCCAGCTCTTCAGGCTGTTCAGTTCTGTTTACCTGGTCCTGAAGTTCCCTGAAAGTGATGATCCGTTTAGTTCCAGTCACAGGGCTTTCATAAATGATGGCAGGCTGCTGTCCACGGCCACTCTCTACATGACGATCCACTGCATTGTAGCACATGTTTAACTTTCCTCCAACAAACCTGAAAGAGACACATATCATTAACCAACAACCATATTTCAAATATGAACAACCTTTATCCTTTAAAACATGTGTGTATATCTTAAATACAATAAGCTGTCGTTTCTGGCCCAGTAGACAAAAAGCTGAAAGGTAAGGTTCTTTCATTTGACTTAGGAATTGATCATAACTTGATGAAGCTACAGTACTTCAAGCTAAAACATGTTCAGTTTGCCTTCACAAGCAGCAGTAAACAAATCAATGCACTTGATAATATGACAGTTTCAATTCATTGTGATGCTGTGCATGTGGATAAGAGGAGCAAACAGGTTGAGCAGATGGTGTTTTGGAATCCAGGGAGATTCTTCATTTTAACATAGCAGCAACAGAATCACGGAGCTCTGTTTTTTTCTAACACACTAGATAGTATAATTACCCAGCAAGTAAGCATACAATGAACTTTTAATTGTCATTTTTATACAATAGTGCATAGTAACATTCATCCATCCACGGGAGATGACATATTGAACCTCTCTGAAGAACCAGCACCTTACTGTGGTGGAGAGGTGTGTGTGCCCTGATGAACCTGGGGGCTGTGTTGTCTGGATGGAACCTTGTGTTCCTGGTAAGGTCTCCCATGGCAAATTGGTCTCAGGAAAGGGGCCAGACCAAGATTGGTTTGAAGACCTCATGAAAGACGAACTAAGAAGTGAGGATACCCGGCCCGGAGGAAGCCCGGGGTACCCTTCTGGAGCCAGGCCCAGAAGGAGGACTCGTCGGCGAGCGTCTGGTGGCCGGGCTTGCCACGGAGCCCAGCCGGCCCTCCTGATCTGAAACACTGAGTGGTGGTTTGTTACTGGACTTCTGTGCTAGTCACGGATTGGCCATAACAAACACCATGTTCGAACATAAGGATGCTCATAAGTGTACGTGGTACCAAAGCACCCTAGGCAGAAGGTCCATGATCGATTTCGGTATCGTATCATCGGACCTGAGGCCGTATGTTTTGGACACTCGGGTAAAGAGAGGGGCGGAGTTGTCAACTGATCACCAACTGGTGGTGAGTTGGGTCGAGTGGCGGGGGAAGCCTCTGGACAGAACTGGTAAGCCCAAACGTGTAGTTCGGGTGAACTGGGAACGTCTGGAGGAGGCCCAAGTTCAGGAGGCCTTCAACTCACACCTCCGGCGGAGCTTTTCGGGCATTCCTGTGGGGGCTGGGGACATTGAACCAGAGTGGGCGGTGTTCAAAGCGTCGAAAGGAGCCAGTTGAGGTGGTTCGGGCACCTAGTAAGGATGTCACCTGGGCGCCTCCCTAGGAAGGTGTTCCAGGCACATCCAGCTGGGAGGAGACCGAGGGGTAGACCTAGGACCAGGTGGAGAGATTATATCTCTTCGCTGGCCTGGGAGCGCCTTTGAATCCCCCAGTCAGAGCTGGTTGATGTGGCCAGGGAAAGGAAAGTTTTGGGCTCTCTGCTGGAACTGCGACCCAACCACGGATACGCTGGAGAAGATGGATGGATGGATGGGAGTTGACATCACACAATAGTACAAAAACATGAAAGACAAGAAAACAAATTCTAACTGATATTTGGAAAAAGGTTTGAAAATGGTTAAGTTGTAGGTAGCTCCAAATTGTGCTTCTCTTACCCTGATGTTCCTGCTGTTAGCTAGCGTTAGTAGCTAGTTAGCTAGCAGCTGGTAAGCTGATTTGCTCGCATTCACTTTTTCATTGATAAATACAGATGTAATTTTCAAACAAGCAGGTTGTTTCATTTACGACTTTTGAAGACTCGTTGTAGAGATTGTTTGGGAGTCCTCTACTAAAATGGAAGCATATAATACTTAAAGGTGGGGTAGGTAATTTTGGAGAAACCAGCTCGAGTGCGCTACAATTTGGAAATACACAGCCGGAAAAAATCTGCCACTTCCTTACAGAGCCCCTCCTCCAACACACACGAACGTGCACATGTGGGCCAATGAGGCACGAGATAAGTTTGTGCACAGATGGAAGGCTGACAGGCAGGTAGGCCATCCAGTTATTTTAGCCGGGCCGGCTAAAATGATTGGTCGTGTTTTTTACAGTACTACGGCTTCCACAGATGACATTTTTTTATGGATTTTTGGTCAAAGCACGTAAGATATTCATTGCTATCGGGATGTTAAGAGCATTCCATGGAATATAACAACAAGTGTATCTCGAGCCCAGTGGCAGCGCCAGAGTATTTGTGTTGGGTAATCTATGGTAGGGCTAACCCATACAGTGGTGGGGCTCAAGTCAGTATTTGCAATGTAATTACATACACGCTATATCGCCCCCCTTGACAGTGAAACGCCACGCGCGAGGTTTAGATTATTTCCCTGTCTCAATCCAAATTCAACTGTATGAAATAAAAAGGCACATCTGTCTTGTAGTAAATAAAAAGGGCGACCTGGAGCCAATCCTGCAATTTCCCCACAGGTGAAAGAGTTGACATGCTGAAAACCCAACCCCTGAAGGGGGGTCTGTGGGGATTCTCCCCCAGGAGATTTTTTGAAATACTAACATAAAATACACATTCTGGTACTCTATTGAGAAGAAAAATAAATAAATCTATTACTACACGACATATTTAAAAAAAAAATGAATGCCATTTTAGTTTTTTGTTACTTTGTTCTGAAAGCTGCACCTGCTGCTCCTCACAGAGAGAAGAGGGAAGAGGCTGTGTGAATTACTTTACATGGTGGATAAGGGTGGATAGCCCCCATTGTTCTGTGTGTCAAAATGAAAGACAGCCCACACACCTATCAATCATCAAACCGTGGGGTCTTATTTCATTACGTGTTGATTTATATCAACACGTAATGTTGTATCGATGTATATAGAGATGTACTGCCGCAAAAGTATTCTCCGTCGGGACTTCCTGAAACAACACCACGCCGTTATCTTGATTCTGATTGGCCAGAAGACATTATCAAAAATGTTCTATTGAGAACATGATCACTACGTGACATAAGTTTATATTAAGACATATTGTTGTGCTGCAGGGGGAATGTTTTTTTCCAGTCGGAGTTATAGCCTAAGGAACCAACAACCTGCACATTTTCCTACGTTTAATTGTGTGTTTGCAATTCTTTCTGTAATTTCTCAAATCATAAGATCAACAAAACAGCTGGTGGTGGGCTTAAAAGAAAATTAGGCTACACAAAGGCCTTTTTAAACTCAAATCGTGGTTGTAATAATCATCGAAGTGTCCTAACAGTGTATGCATTAGGTTTACATAATAGCATTTGAGGGTCATAAAAGATTATCGATTTCGAAAAAATATATTAGATAAAATGTGAATCCCCATCATGCATGCATCCCGATATGCCTTAGTATCCTATGCTTACTTTTACTTATTTCGAAAGTTTATTTTTCCACTTTCCATCCTACTACTGTCAACTTTCAAGGATGTAAAGCTCCGTGGGAAAGGAGAAAGCTGTGGTAAAGCGACATGTTGTTGACAGTTTTTGATGATTCTTGCAGTTTTGTTGGCTTGCAACATTGAAACCTACCAGTTTGGAAACACTGGATCCTCAACGTGCAAAGTTTTGCTCCACGGCTCAAACCAGTTAATATCCTGTCCCACTTCAGCCCAGAATGTCTCCGGGTTGTCCCTCGCAGAGTTGAAGGCTCTGTTGTACGCTGTGTCCGATGCATAGTTTCTGCAACACTGCTGGGCGAAATAATTCTTGATGTCGGCAGATGCAATTGATCCTGCTGCTCTGACGCGTCGTTGTTGTTGTTGTGCTGCAGACACTATTGTCCACAGTTTCCTTTCAAGTGTCCTCTTGCCCTGCACAGAGGCGCAGGGATTCAAACGCACTAAGTGTTTTATATGGAAGTGCATTGCTGCAGTTAATAAGAAAAGACAAACGTTTACGCTTCCGGAGTTTTCCTGCAAGTGGACAACAGGCTCGGATTCAACTCTGCGACATCATCTGGGGCCAGGCAAAGTGAGAGGAGCCTCTCCAACAGAAATCCTCACTATACTCTCAAGGAATGCGAACTATAACCTGGATGTAGTTGATGCAGGAGGAGCCTTGAGCAACAACAACCAATGTTGCACAACACATGAACTGAAGTGCAACAATGTAAACCTTTCAAGACATAAATACTAAGATGTGTAAAAGGAATGCCATGAAATAATGTGTATGCTCTATTTCCTGCATATAACAAAAAATCACTGTTTGAAGCCCAACATTACCCCCAATACATTTTTCAGGAATAGCTATTAGCCGGTGGAATGTATTTTGTTATGCAAATCAAGAATACATCATTGATAATTATTTGTGAACAGCTTGAGCTCATATTCAATGAAATCTTTGTTTGCTAGCTGCAGCATTAAACTCTTAGGTTCCTCAGGGTGGCATCAATAAACCCTCTTACTGTTAAGAATGCAAATACCGGTACTTAAACTGATCAAGGGATGCATGAAGGGGCTTGTTTGAGGATATTTAGGAGGAGTCAGGAGTCAAATTATAACAACTCTTTCGTTAAGCTGAGTCACTTGTTCTGGTTGCATCACAACAGCAGTGCAGTCCTGTCACGGCGTAGTCTCAGATGCTGGTGAGTACATATCTTTTGTCACTGGCATCATCCAAGCTTCTGGTAAATACCCATAATACAGCTGACTCCCCCTGACTCCTCCCCTTCATACTGGTGTCCAATGAGTAACTCATCCATCTGATATTTCAGGTCATCTGTTTCTATTTATACATGCAAAGTTCTGGAAGCAGCATGCTCCTTCCAGGAAAAATTGGAGTGTTAGCTGCTAACATATTTCACTAGATTTAAATGTAACTGTACAACCTACTTTGAATTACATCCTTTTGTTTACATACAAATGTGTTATCCTAACGCTTCCTGGTTTTATTGGCTTTTTGTATATGATAAACCTGTGGTTGTTATTTTTGACTGTAATATTGATGTACATCTCATCACATTTCAACAGAGCATGTATGCTACAATCTATATTAATGTATAACTGTAATCAAAACATTGGCAGGGAAAGGATCCCTCCCTTCTCCTCATGCTGTAATTTGTGCGGCCAAAAGGTCTCTCTAAATCACTCCCCCAGGCGCTGCCATAACTCTTTTTATAACAGTGCAGATGCTATTGGCAGAATACATATCATTCTTATACTCATGGCACCGAGAGAACTACTAATCGCTGCTTGCAAAGGCCAATCAGGGCTAAATCAGAGTCCAACATGGCTCATTATGGCCCCTCCATCTCGCCCTTTTCTCTGATTTGATGTAATGAGTGTGAATCTTTTCAAGCAGAAATCAGTTGGATGTCCTTCAGAAAAAGTTAGGGGCGAATTCCCAGAGTTGATCTACAAATGATTAATCTCCTGTGGGTTTTTTTTACCCCCCGAGTCTGAATATGGATTTATAATTGAATTAGTGTGAAGATAATGATTCCCATTTTACATATCCAATGGTTTTTAGATGCAGCAGTTGGCAAAAAGGCTTGGGAATAACTTCCAACAACATCATTCATAATCTGGATAAACCGATACATAATTACACATTATTACAGTTGAGGGAAGTTGCATGAAATTAAACATGCAAAAATACTAGGGACACATGCTCATTTGCTATTCCCTTATTTAGTGCCAGTCAAAGCAGATGATGAATATATGAATAGCTTTAAAAGTTCAAGACCAATATTTGAGCATTTATACATAGGGTGCAGTGGCAGTAGCTCTTGATATCTTAATATATTTAAATGTCAGTTTATGAGCAGCTACAATGCCAAATAAACAGCAGTAGAGCATGATCTTACTCATGTCATGCTTTGTAATAATGTGACAGGAGGGACAATATACTCCCATAATCTTTCTTCTCAAATGAAAAGATATTAAATCAGCTGGTGAATGAAACAAAGTGATGTAATGTGCGATTTCATTACTTTTATGTCCCTTTGACAAAGGGATGGGATCTGATTCCCTGAAGGGGGCGTCAGTAGTCTAATGGTTAGAGGAAATTTGTGTTAGAGGTTAAAATCCCATGACAAATGTATGATGTGTCGAAATCAGTGCTGCAGGATTTCCGTTTTGTAAATCTCAAGGTACCTTTGAGCTAGGCATTTAATCCCAAAGTTGCTCCAGTTACAAATAATGAAAGGTCCACAACCAGCTTTGAGAAGTGAGAGAATATCATCATGGAGCTACTTCCTTCAGTTGTCCCTCTAAATATAAAGGAAAAAATATGTTTGTTGTTTCACTATGTCTTGTTGGAAAATACATAACACTTTTAAGATGACTATCAGTATACCTCATACATGTTCACATTACGATCTGCTTTCATGATCTGTCAGAAGCTGCCTGATGGAGCTTGGTAATAAACAGCAGAGCAGCTGTGGGAAAGCAACCTGTCACATCATGCAGCAAAACCAAAACACAAACAAAACACATTAATACTTCATACTTGAGATGTTGTCAAGCAAACAGGATATTGTCATCTCTTTTTACCAGTGAGACATGATCACCGTCATGCTGCACAGGGATTAGAGTCAATGGTTGTCAAAATTCATGATCCAATGTTCCTTTTGGATAAGAACAGGATCAGGCCAAGAAATAATCTGGCACATGACCCCTTCTTAAAAGCACACTTTTTAAAACTTTTGCATGTTTTTTGTATGGATTAAACCAACAATATATACAATGTTGAAGAGACAGGTCCCACCAAAAATAAAAATGCTTTGTTTTTCTAAGAATATGTCGCAAAAGTATTTCTTTAATGACGTGTTTAATTTAATTTTGCAAGAGTACTGAAGTGTGCCCGTGCCTGCAAACATGCTGATACGGACTTCCTGAGCTTTTATGTGTTAGGTAAACATTCTGCAGTACAGGTGTCTTTATTTGCCTTGTCTACATGGCCTCTTGTCCTCCGTGGGAGTGAAAACCTTTTCAGAAATCAATTCACTCGCTGTTAAAGGGCTTTAAGAGCACTGCTGCGTAATCCCACCTCTTTAAAAAAAAAAACAGTACTGTATTCCAGCCCATATGGGCGGGGGCCTGTAATCTCTCCGTGCCCTCTTTCCGTGCGCTCTCTAAGCCCTGTCCTTCTCCATCCAGCCCACCATCAACCACCAGTTCACATCTGTATGCAGCAGGGTGGGACTGAGGGTGGCAGGTATTCACGAGCACATATGGACTGTGTGATTAGGTTTTGTTGCAGTTTCAATCAAAAACCAAGATTATGATGCCTGAAATGCTTAAAATTGATGAAAATGGAATCCGCAGAATTACATCGACATGAGATTTTTAAAATGTCATTCTTGGACTTATTTCATGGCCGCCAATTTGAAGTAAAGTGAGGTTGTGAGTGAGGTAATTGCTTCCCAAATGGGTCTAGGCAAAAGTGCTGCAAGCAAGATAATGTCATTCAGATAATTTCAGTGTCTGTTTGGATGTTGCTCTGAACAGATGTGCACATGCAGCCTAAATGTTGGTTGTCAGGTTTGAGTTTACAGCTTCATGCCAGCAACGTGACTCGTCATCCATCCTTAACCAGCGATTTGTGACTTGTTTTTGTGTAGCACTGCTTCTGTCGAGTGCAATGACTGGCCAGGTATGACAAATATCACAGCAGCAGGCACCATTAGGCAGCAGATCTACAGTAGATGAAGGGAGTCAGTAGTTTGGCTCCGTTCGGTGGTAGCGCATAAACATGAGGATTAATCCTTAAGCCCTTCAACAAAGGTTCACTACCATCATTCAGTCCTTATCGGGCTGCATGCAGTGCATAGCCAAGAGAGGAGATAACAGTGCCATGGCTCAGCGGTTCATAATAAACCTTTAAGGCAAGCCTGGTTGCAATCAACTGATCTCTGAAGTGCAATGGATGTGCATCATATGTGCCTAAGCATTTACACATGCAAAAACAGAGACACATCATTGGGATTCAGCATGAGGGCACTGGTAGACTCCTCTGAATGGTGATGCCGCCGCATATTGTAAGTATAACTGTTAAAATGAGAGATGACTGACTTGTTTATTAAGTCAGGTTTAATATAAGAGATAAGCTGTCCTGAATGCAGCTGTGATTTATGACATATGGCCAAGCATGTGGTCCACATATCTGCATACTTTAGAGGACATGTCGAATGCAGGCAACTTCCTGCAGATAGATTTCATGGAGGACCTGAAAAATGAAGAGTGTAGGCTTTAATGGCAGCAAAAAAATGTCCAGGATTTTTAACAAGATGTTCAGCAAACACATGTGGGAGTGCTCATTGGGTTTCACTTTTGAGGTTTTATACATATTCATTAGCATTGTTGGAGGGAGCCTGGGATCCAAGATGTTCCTAGCCAAAGACTGCTTCACTGTAATTGTTGTGCATATTAAAAAAAACGTGCAACTTGCTCGGGAGTCCACATTCTTGTAAAAGTGTCATCATACTTCTGGCCATGTTTTAAAGGTCCCCTATTATACTGTGTTTCATCAATATATGATGTCTCAGATATAAACAAACATGTCTCTGAAGTGTTTGGCTCCAAACACCAAACAGATCATGGCAGCATCCCATAATCCCCAGCCCTGTTTCAAAAGTGCTGATTCTCTGTCTGTTACTTTAGATGAAAATAAGGAGCCCCTCCCCACGCCCCTCTGAGAGATATTTCATTTTTCATTTCAATCTTTATTTTGAACAAATTAAAAAAATAACAAATGTGAAAAACAGAATACCGTATTGTTAAAATACAGTATTTATTCACATTCATGATAATATTTATATATTCAACAAAAAAAAGTCTTCATATTAATAATAATAATAAATCATATGTGTCCAAAAGGGAGCAGGAGGAAGCAAATGCTTATTAATTCCCACCCCTTACTTGATCACTGATTGTCCTTTAAATGTTATGCAAGTTATTCCTACTTACATTTACATTTATAAATTGATATTTGGTTAAACGAACACTCTAGGAGGAGATTCAGGTGATAAGGGGGGGGGGGGGGGTTACCTTGGT